TCAGCAAGCGGGACTGACCTAGGGTGAATTTTAAATAGGGACAATTTTAATGATTTTAATAAGACACAGCTATAAATATTTGGTTTTTAATTGGCTTTTATAGGGGAAATGTTTTATATTGTTTTAACATGCTGTGAGCCGCCCTGAGTCCCATGGGGAGAAGGGCGGCATATAAGTTAAATAAATAAATAAATAAATTAATTAATTAACACAATTGAAGCCAAAAACTGGATTCCTCTCCCCTCAGCACATAGTATCAAAGCACAATTCCGTCCTCCAATTAACAGTCATAAATCACATTCTCCAATTAGTTTGAAATGCAGGCTTTCCCTCCAGTTCTCCAGCCTGGCCAATTCTTATCATCTCTTATTTCAATAACCTTGGTTCACACACTAGGTTCAGTATTGTTATGTCTAGCTAAACTCTCATGCACATTCCTCCCCCCAGCATCATGTAACCCTAACTCTAACTCTAAGAGTAAAACATAAGAAGAAAATGTTAGCAGCGTTGACATCAGTACTGCTTGAATGTCAATGTTTAATGTGAAAGGCAGGAAAAAATCTTTAAATGCAGGGAAAAGGACAATATTTTCTTTTTTCACGAAAGAGAAAACAAATGTGCTTTTGTCTCATCCATTTTTTCATGATTCTGCCCATTTATTTATTTTTTTGAAGCAGGCAGGGTCAAGTACAGTCCCTGCCTGCAGTTTCAATTCTTAAAATGCTGTTCTTGCACTTGAGCAGTTTGGCCTTACTAGGTTGGTTCTGATTCAGTACCGTTGCATGTTATCTCAGGCTGTTGGTTCAGATGTAGCAGCAAATCATTGTTAGGCCTTACAAATCATGATCTGGGACTGCATTGAAGCCACCTGATTTTCGGGAGAGGAAGAGAGAACCTCCATCTAATGAATGTCTCTTTGCCTTGTAGAAGACTCTTTTGATGTCACTCGGGAGGCCATGACCCATCTGGGCATTGACAGTTTCACCCAGAATAATGTTTTTAAGGTCAGTTAAACCTTAATAATAATAATAATAATAATAATAATAATAATAATAATAATAATAAAGTTGGAAGGGACCTTGGAGGTCATCGAGTCCAACCCCCTGCCCAGGCAGGAACCCTATACCATTTCAGACAAACGGCTGTCCAGTCTCTTCTTAAAAACTTCCAGTGTTGGAGCATTCACCGCTTCTGGAGGCAAGGAGTTCCACTGGTTAATTGTTCTAACATTCAGGAAGTTTCTCCTTAGTTCCAGGTTGCTTCTCTCCTTGATTAGTTTCCACCCATTGCTTCTCGTCCTGCCTTCAGGCGCTTTGGAGAATAGCTTGACTCCCTCTTCTTTGTGGCAGCCCCTTGGCTCAGTAGCAGTTGGATTGATTGATTGATTGATCGATTGATAGGATTGGTAAGGCCACCTAATCAGCATGTATTGATCTCTGAGGGTGATTTAGCACGTCTCGAATTTCAACAGCCTGGCTGTCAACTGTCCAGTTGGCATTTCCAGAAAATAAACTCTTGGGGCATGGTTTTACCAAGGTCATAATACTTTACTGAAAAATTAGAAGAAAACGAAACCAGCTCTGGTTTTTGCCGTTCAAAGGCTTGCTTAGTTAAATGATAGACTCCCTCACCCCCACCCACCGGGTGTTCACTTTGTCCAATTGTAATATTTCTTCTTGTTATGGAAACAGTCCACTTCTCCTTCGAGCAGCTGGCCTTGACTCTCAGTTGCCTAGACCAGAGGTCCCCAACCTTTTGGGCACCAGGGACCTCCTCCGTGGAGAGAGGTTTTTCCGCGACCAGAGGGGGCCGTGGTTTTGTGTGCTGCCCGCATCCCACGGATGGGGCTTTGCTTGTTTGTGCAGACCGGTTGCTGGAATGTCGTGACCCGGTACTGGTCCACGGACTGGGGGTTGGAGACCCCTGGCCTAAACATCAGACAGGAAGGCGGTGCAGAGAGTGGTGAGGACGGCTGAAAAGATCATTGGCAGTTCCCTCCCTCCCATCCAGGACATAGCACGGAAGCGCTGCTTGAGCAGGGTCCGTAAGATTATCTGGGGCGCTACACATCCTCTTCACGACCTGTTTTTCTTGTTCCCTTCTGGGAGGGGGGGGCTCCGTGGTATCCGAAGCAGAACATCCAGATTCAGCCATAGTTTCATTCCATACAGCATTAACCTTGTGAACTCTCAAGCTTCCTCCTTCCATTATATGTTCAAGATGGACAGTATTTAATATTCATTTGCTATGTATAAGTAGGGGTGTGGGTCTATACATATGTCGTACATAGTATGTTTAGGTGTGTGTCATGTATGTGTTTCACTTTGAGAACGGACAACTAAATTTCATTTTTGATGTGTGCCGTTGTGTCCACAGTAAAAAAAAATGACAATAAAGGTTATCTTATCTCTCACCTTTGCATTCCATTGTCAAGATATGAGCAAAAGAGAAAATCTAGGTGAAAAGGCGAATTGTTCTTGACACTGGCTTCATGCCCTAGGGGGCTTTTATGCTAGGGTGGGTCTCTTTTCAAATCTTCTGCTGGACAGTTCCTAGTAAACTCAGTTTCTGAGTATGGATCCTTGTTCAGCCCAAAAACATCACCTGTACAGAATACAGAGAAACTAACCAATTTGCGATCTCTTTTTGTTAACAGATACTAGCTGGTCTTCTCCATTTGGGCAATATTCAGTTCTGTGAGTCAGAAGATGAGGCACAACTTTGTGAGTTAGAAGACCTGGCCAAAGGTGAGCTGCCCAAGAGCAAGGTCCTCCAGTCTCAAAAGAACCTTAGTTTCAGCTTTGCCGAATCATGGTTTAACACTGAAGATGGTGTAAAACCAGCCAGCTGGAGCTTATTCAGCAAAGTACGTCATAATATAATGTAGGAACGCAATTGGTTATCCAACAGATCTTTGTATATATCAGTGGTGGCGAACCTATGGCACGGGTGCCAGAGGCGGCACTCGGAGCCCTCTCTGTGGGCACACGTGCCGTTGCCCCAGCCTCGCCTCCCCCCGCGACCCCCTCCTCACCAGCAGCCCCCCTGAAGGAGAGTCGCCCCCCTCCCACGGAGCAGCGCAGCCAAGGACATGGCAGCCAGGCAGCGTAGACAAGACTCTGCCCTCACGCCCCATCGTGCACAGTTGATGCTGCAGGGCTCGGGCAGAGGGCGTGACTGGGTGATTTGTGGCGGGCCCTGGAGGTGGTGAGTGGCCGTGTGGGCAGGCGGGGCAGGGGATGGTTGCTGACTTAGAAAACTTTAGGATGACATTTTCACATTTCGTATTTCTGAACCGGCCATAGATCAAACCAATATATTCTCCTAAGCTTCATACTGTAGAACAGAAATTTATCCAGGCTATTTTAAGAAAAATGGCTGACTTTTTTGTTTTTTAAATGATTCTTTTAAAACAAGGCTTTGCAGAGACTGCTTCCCGGCTTTTAAGAGTGCCTGAGGAGCGTTTGTTGGACACACTCAGGATCCGGACGATAACTGCTGGGAGACAACGGCAGGTGTTCAGGAAGCCTTGTCTCAAGGCAGAGTGTGGAACAAGGAGGGACTGTCTGGCCAAGGTGATTTACGCCAGGTAAGTCCTTAGACCAGCATGGCTGCCTGGGGAATTCTGGGAATTGAAGTCCATACATTTTCAAATGGCCGAGGTTGAAAAACACTGCCTTAGATCAGAGCTTTTCAACCTTTTCACCCATTGTACCACTTTTAGGATATGGCAGTATCCGAGTACCACGAGTTGCCTAGCAAAGTGTCCAAAACCTGATGACCCCCCCCCAAAAAAAGGAAAAAAGTGATGAAGTACAGGTAGTCCTCGACTTACAACAGTTCGCTTAGTAATTGTTCGAAGTTACAATGGCACTGAAAAAAGTGCCCCCCCCAAGGCACAGCTGAGCAAGACACCTGCCTGCCCACCCGGCCGCGCTCTTCCTCCTGTCCGAGGTTTTCATTGTTGCGAGCATTTCTGTTGAGGATTGGCAGCGGGGGTGGGATGGGGGGGTGTTTGGTTTTTATCCCCCCCCCCATCTGCTGGGTGGTTGCAGCAGGTTTTGGTCACTTCACATGACCCTAGGACACTGTGACTGTCATAAATATGAATCAGTTGCCAAGCATTTGAATGTAAATCACAAGACCCTGGAGATGCTGCAACATTCCAGCTGATAGGTGCTTCTTCAGGGCTCAGCAGAAGTGCCAGGATCAGCGCTGAGCTCCAGCTGGATCCTGGCGCTGATCCTGTCGCTTCCACTGAGCCCTGACAGCCCTGCAGCTCCAGCCATCTCTTGCTCAGGCTTGTGCGGTGCTGCCACCGGTTCAGCTCATTCCCCTCCCCCGCTACCACTTTTCTAGGATGGTCACGTACCACCTGCCAGGTGCCAATGTACCCCAGGTGGTACCCGTACCACCGGTTGAAAAGCCCTGCCTTAGATAATACACAAAAGTGTCAAATGTTCATCAAATGTCCGGAAAGCTTATGTTTTCTTTCCTTGTATCCCATTTTAAGATGCCACGTATCCTTGTGATTTTAGCTGTGAGTTTGCTATATTCTCTCGCTATCCTATTCCTTAAAATCTCATTCTGTCATTGAAGCCCCTCTGGAAGGTAAGCTAACTTGGAAGAGAAAGCATAAACTTCATGATCGATTAGCTTCGCTTTGGGTCTTCAGTCCTGCTCATAACACACACCTACAATTCATTATTGGTCTGTGTTTCTGGCTGCTTTGTTGCTATGTAACATTGCTTCTCAGTTTTCCATCTTTCTTGTAGGATCTTTGACTGGCTGGTGTCCGTGATCAATGGAAGCATCTGTGCCTCTAATTCCGTGTGGAACAACTTCATAGGTATTATTTGGGGAGGGGGGATCTCGGATCTATAACTCCTGACAGAACTAGTTAGAATCCACATTAAATAATGTTCTGTACATTAAATCTTCTGCAGTCAGGGAATCTTCCAGTTTCTTTCTGGATGCAATTCAGAATGCTGGTTATTATCTTTAAAGCCTTAAACGGTTTGGGATGAGGCTACTTAGCAGGACCATCCCCCTCTGAGGATAGTTACCCTTTGTCGTTTCAGATAGGGTGGATGTGCTGCAGATCCCTTCTTTTAAATGTTGTAATCTAAGGAGACCTAAGAAGTGTTCCTTCTCTGTAGTGCTCCCTGCCCTGTGGAACACCCTTCCACAAGGGAAACAGCTGCCCTGCCCCTCCTCTTTGCTGTTTTGAAGTCCTAGCTATTCTCATAAGCATTGGGGTAGGCTGAAACCCAACCAGATTATTCATGAAATATGGAATAGTGCTGTCCCAGATGTCATAGCCTTTTTTAAATACAGTTTTTAAAGATTCTTATTTTATGTTTTGGGGGGTTGATTTCTTTTACTGTTTTGTATGCCGCCCAGTGTTTTTCTTGTAACATAAGCAGCTATATAAGGCTCTTAATCAATCAATCAATCAATCAATCAATCAATCTAGATTTGTTATTTTTAAACATTATCTTCCACTAGTGCAGGGGTAGGCCACCTTGGCTCTTTTATGACTCGTGGACTTCAAGTCCCAGAATTCCTGAGCCAGCATGGCTCAGCTTGGAAACCTCTCCCTTTCCCCTCAGCATGGCTGGCTCAGGAATTCTGGGAGTTGAAGTCCACCAGTCATAAAAGAGCCAAGGTTGCCTTCCCCTGCACTAGCCCAAGGACACCCAAAGAGTTTTTGGTTGAACCTCACAAAACTGTAAACTGTACAGTGGTCCCTGGCTTGCAACTTAATGTTTAACAATAGTCTGAAGTTACAACAGCCTTGAAAAAAGTGCACTTTTACAACATGTAATTGCAGTATCCCTGCAGTTATGCGATTTCAATTCAGGTGCTTTGCAGCCAGCTCAAATTTACAACTGGCTGCAGCGTCCTGCAGCCCCATGACTGTGATTTGCAACCTTATCCATTAGAGAAGCTGGATTCACTTAACGACTACATGACTCGCTTAATAACACTGGAAGTTTTTAAGAAGAAACTGGACAGCCATTTGTCCAAAATGGTGTAGGGTTTCCTGCCTGAGCAGGGGGTTGGACCCGATGACCTCCAAGGTCCCTTCCAACTTTATTATTATTATTATTATTATTATTATTATTATTATTATTATTATTATTATTATTATTATTATTATTATTATTATTATTAACCATGGCGATTCACTTTACAACCATCATAAAAAAATGGTCGTCAAATTGGATCTAATCATATAGTAACTTAACTTATGACTTAGTGACAGAAATCCCAGTCCCTAATGTCGTTGTAAATCGAGGATTACCCGAAACCCAAAGATCAACTAGGAAGAAGAGCAGGGAGAAAGGCTGCCTGGATAATGTTCCCAGGGATGATGGTGCAACTTTTCCTTTCCTCTCCTCCAGGTCTGCTAGATGTTTACGGTTTTGAATCCTTTGTGGACAACCACTTAGAACAGCTTTGCATCAATTATGCTAATGAGAAACTGCAGCAGCATTTTGTCAGCCATTTCCTGAAAGCTCAACAGGTAACGCTTTGCAAGTGGATTTTCCCTGCGTGCTCTTCTGCAAGAAAATGAGTTTTTGTATTCTGGGGTCTTTGGCCACCTTGAAATCATCTACTTCCTCCTCGGTTATTTTTGTTCCTCAAGGAAGAATACACCGAAGAAGGTCTTGAATGGTCCTTTGTAAACTACCAAGATAATCAAACCTGTCTGGACGCCATCGAGGGCAATCCTGTTAGCATCTTCTCCTTGCTCAATGAGGTGGGTCTAAAGCAGTGGTTCTCAACCTGTGGGTCGGGAGCCCATTTGGGGTTGATCGGCCATTTCATGGGGGTCGCCAAGCAAGGCTGTCCGCCATTTTTTTTGTCCGCCATTTTTTTTCCCCTTTTCCGGCGGATGCCTTACCTCCCTTGGGCTGGGCCAGCTGGTGGTCGGCCTGCTCCGTCTCTGCCGCTTGCCAGCTACGCCTCGGCCGGCGCAGGGGGCGGAACCACGCATGCACGGCGCTCCCAGGCAGGGAAAGTCCTCGACTTACGACCGGTTGGGTAGTCCTTGACTTACGACCGGTTTAGTCCTCGACTTACGACCGGTTTAGTCCTCGACTTACAACCGGTTGGGGTCGCGGCATTAAAAAGGTTGAGAACCACTGGTCTAAAGCTTCCTTTTTTTTCCTTTTCAAATAAAGTCCATTTAATCATAATTAGAATTCTCCAAAGCAGAAGAGTCTAAACTGGCACCGTAAGACAATATCAATGTAATACAAGACATAAGAAAAAAAATATCTAAAAGGCATAAAGGAGTAACTGATTTAAAGATGCCATTATTGGATTCTCCTCTTTTTGGACTGTATCAAATTACTCATCTGTGCCTAAATTTGGTTGGCTTTGGTCCTCCTCCTCCTCCTCCTCCTCCTCCTCCTCAACCTTTCCCCACTGTGTTCTCTCTTTTTTCTTTGCCAGGCCTGCCGCCTTAACTGGACTTCCAATGCAGCACAGTTTCAAAGTCGGATTGAGATTGCTTTGTCCAAGAACGCCTGTATAAGCCGAGACAAATTTAGGAAGGATCCAAACTTCATCGTGTCCCATTACGCTGGCAGCGTCTGCTATCAAATTGAGAGTATGGTAGAAAAAAATAAGGTACGTTTGGTTTATCACTTGGGTTTGTTAATTTAAATGAGAGATAGTCCTTTTTTTTGGGTAAGTCTCATTTGAAAATGAGGCTAAAATCAAATTCCATTGCTGCAGTTTTTCACGGCTATTTAATTCTTCAGTAAAAGGAAGATTTTGATAGGTTTACTGGATGGGCAATTAAAGAAAAGCATCCAGTTGTTTCATAAAGCAAAACTTAGTTTAAGTCAGTCTCTCTCCTCCCTCCCTCCCTCCCTCCCTCCCTCTCTCTTTCTCTCTCTCTCTCTCTCTGATTTCTAATTATTTTCTGATATAAAAAAAATGTCAGCCTTTTAAAAGAGAGTTGAAAAAATGGGAAGGGTACTGCCAAAGAGAAGTGCTTGAATCTTTGGTAACAGGGAACAATGTAAATTTAAGCCATCATCTATTGATCCTAGAGCCAAAAGAATGCATAATATAACATTCATTGATATATATGAAGGTTTTTTTCCACACTATTCTCTCTAAAGGACTGAGAAAAATTCTCCTGCAGTTTGTCCGACAATAATATGACGGACAATTTTAAAACTGCACACATAAATATTTTATCTCTGGCTGTTGGTTTGGTTCCCCTTTCTGAAGCTTTTGTGGCAATGAACTTTTGCTTACAAATCCCACAAAAGTGTTAAGACAGATATAAAGCTTTCTGTATTTCATGGTTTTTGCCTGGCCTACATAATCAAGCAGAGTGTACATACTCCATCCATTAAGCAGTGACATCTGACAGGAGCTAGGACAGGGGTAGGCAACCTTGGCTCTTTTATGACTCGTGGACTTCAACTCGCAGAATTCCTGAGCCGGCATGGCTCAGGTTGGAAACCTCTCCATTTCTCCTCAGCATGGCTGGCTCAGGAATTCTGGGAGTTGAAGTCCACAAGTCATAAAAGAGCCAAGGTTGCCTACCCCTGAGCTAGGAAGTGGCCTGCTCTGTAGTGGCACCTGCTCTTTGAAACACCAGTCCCCCCAAGATACATTTGGGATGGAGCAAGGACTGGAATTTTTATCAGAAGCCCTTTCTGCTGCAACCCTTAGATCAGGGGTGTCAAACTGCCGGCCCACAGGCCGGTTGCATCATATGGAGGCCGTGTCCATTCCAGCTCCAGCAATGCAAAAAAAGTCATACATCGCGACACGTCACATGACGTGGTGAGTTTGACACCTGTGCCTTAGATGGATTTAGTCATAATAATAATAAAGTTGGAAGGGACCTTGGAGGTCATCTAGTCCAACCCCCTGCTCAGGCAGGAAATCTTATACCATTTCGGACAAATGGCTGTCCAGTCTCTTCTTTAAAACTTCCAGTGTTGGAGCATTCACAGCTTCTGGAGGCAAGTAGTTCCACTGATTAATTGTCCCCACTGTCAGGAAGTTTCTCCTTAGTTCTAGGTTGCTTCTCTCCTTGGTTAGTTTCCATCCGTTGCTTGTTCTATATCAGTGATGGCAAACCTTTTAGAGACCGAGTGCCCAAACTGAAACCCCAAACCCACTTATGCATCGTCAGGTGCTGGGTGGGTGTGGCCCATTGGGTGGGTGTGGCCCATTGGGTGGGCGTGGCTGCGGTGGTAACGGCAGACTGGGTGGGACTAAAAAGTTCAATCAATCAATTCCAACTTTGCAAGATCTTTTTTTTCCCACGAGAAGTTGAAATTGACTGATTGATTGAACCTTTTTTTTTTTTTTTGCACACGGCAGCGGAGACCTAAAGCGAAAAGGTTTTATAAAATCCAGCTGAAGGCCTAGGACTGGGGCGATGGCGCACGTGCCCACAGAGAGGGCTCTGAGTGCCGCCTCTGGCACCCGTGCCATAGGTTCGCCACCACTGTTCTATATGTTTATGGTTCACTATGACAAAGACTGATAATCTGTCTGCTTCTGGTTTTTCTTAAAAAATTCAGGATCCTGTTCCCCCAGAACTGGTCCTGTTGCTGCAACAATCTGAGGATGCCTTGCTTCAGAAGTTATTTCCTGCAGAAGAGTCGAATGCCAAATCTGACGAAAACGATATAAAGACTCAAGCAAAGCCTGCACTTGTCACGGTCGTCTCCAAATTTAAGGTTCATCCCATTTGCAGATTTCAATTTAGGTTGTGCCTTCTTTCCCCCCCCCTCCCCCATGCTTTTCTCCTACAACAGTGATCCCCAAACCTGTGTTTTGTTAAACCAGAGGAGAAGGAAGGGAGATTCTTAAGAGATGAGACATGGATAAGAGAGGCAGGATGGTCTTCTGTGATGTTGTACAAGTAAAGTTCTACATTTAGGCAAGAAAAACCAAATGCACAGGTATAGTATAGGGGGTACCTTGCTCAATAGTAGTAACTGTGAGAGGGACCTCGGAGTCCTAGTGGACAATCACCTAAATATGAGCCAGCAGTGAGTTGTAGCTGCCCAAAAGGCCAACACAGTGCTGCATTAACAGAGGTATAGAATCAAGATCACGTGAAGTGTTAATGTCACTTTACAATGCCTTAGTAAGGCCACACTTGGAATAATTGCATCCAGTTTTGGTCACCACGATGTAAAAAAGATGCTGAGACTCTAGAAAGAGTACAGAGAAGAGCAGCAAAGATGATTAGGGGATTGGAGGCTAGAACGTATAAGGAACGGCTGCTGGAATTGGGTATGTCTAATTTAATGAAGATAAGGACGAGGGAGGACATGATAGCAGTGTTCCAATATCTCAGGGGCTACCACAAAGAAGAGGGAGTCAAGCTGTTCTCCAAAGCGCCTGAAGGCAGGACAAGAAGCAACGGGTGGAAGCTAACCAAAGAGAGAAGCAACCTAGAACTAAGGAGAAACTTCCTGACAGTTAGAACAATTAACCAGTGGAACAACCTGCCTCCAGAAGCGGTGAATGCTCCAACACTGGTTTAAGAAGAGATTGGACAGCCATTTGTCTGAAATGGTATAGGGTTTCCTGCCTGAGCAGGGGGTTGGACTACATGAGCTCCAAGGTCCCTTCCAACTTCATTATTATTATTATTATTAAAGGAGAAATCATTAAAGTGTAGGTACTCCTCACTTAGCAACCATTAATTCATTTGGCCACTTGAAATAGTGACAGAACTGATTAAGTAATACAGGTAATCCTTGACTTACGACCCCAATTGAGCCCAAAATCTCTGTTGCTAAGTTGAGACGGTGGTAAAGTGAGTTTTGCCCCATTTTATGACCTTACTTGCTGTAGCTGTTAAGCGAATAACTGCTGTTTTTAAGTTAATATCATGGCTGATAAGAGAATCTGGCTTCCCCATTGACTTTGCTTGTCGGAAGATCACAAAAGGTGATCCCATAACCCTGGGACACACGGCAACCATCATAATTATGGGTCGCTTGGTAAGCATCTGAATTTTGATCCTGTGACCATGGGGGTAGTACAAGTGTGAAAAAAGGTTGTAAGTCGCGTTTTTCAAGGCCATTGTAACTTCGAACGGTCACGAAAAGAACTGTTGTAAGTCGAGGACTACCTGTACTTTTGACTGGTCCTTGAAGTTCTGGCCATCGCAAGGCCCTGCAGTCCCCTGGTCACGATTTGTGCACTTGGCAACCAGCTCCCACTTACTATGACTGCACCACCTCACAGTCACGTGATCACCATTTGCTGCCTTGCCTGCCGGCTTCCCATAAGCAAAGACAAAGGGGAAGGCAGCAGGAAATATCCATCGCAAGCTATTCCAGTAAGTGTCAAGAGTGAAAATTTGGCAGCTATGTGCCCCTCTCTGTTTTCATCTGGCCATTAAAATAAAGGGGGGGGAGGTGTTGCTTTTGAATGGGTTAGTTAGAGAAACGAAATCTCTCCAGTTCTCTTGGAAACTTGCTGAGAGTCAACAGTCTGGAAACCTTTCAAGGACATTTTAGCAGGTGTGAAGAAGATAGCAGACGGTTCCCATAACAAAGCGACCTTGTTTACATGAGCTATGTGCACATGTTTGGCTGGGAATTATTGTTATATGCCCTGGGATTTTAAAGTTAGTTTTTCCTCGCCTTTACCAGGCCTTGTATTCAATAAACAGTAAGCTTTTCAGAAATGAAAATAATCCTGGATGAATAGAGTAGAGTAGAACAGAACAGAATAGATATTGGAATATAGAATAGAATAGAATAGAATAGAATAGAATAGAATAGAATAGATACTGGAATATAGAATAGAATAGAATAGATATTGGAATAGAATAAATATTGGAATAGATATTGGAATATAGAATAGATATTGGAATATGGAATAGAAAAGAACAGAATAGAATAGAATAGAGCTGGAAGGGACCTTGGAGGTCTTCTAGTCCAGCCCCCTGCTCAAGCAGGAGAACCTACACCATTTCAGACAAACGGTTGTCCAGTCTCTTCTTTATTCGCATACTCGAGCTGTAGGTTGACAGTAAGTCCCTTGGCCTCCCTGTGCTCACATAGTGCCCTGCTCCCCACAGCTTCTTTGCTTTGCTTGCGCATCCTGCTTCCCCCAGGCTTCTAGTGACGCATGATTCAGATGAGTTTAGCAGGCACAGAATGCTGGCTGCAGTGGGAAGGGATATATAAAACCAGGAGAGCTTATGTATTTGGGGTACGTTAGAAAAGAGCCAGGCTAATGGATTGCAACTTTGAGTAATGCATTACGCTGCAATGTTTCATTGCAGATCAGGGTTGTTGTTTTTTTTTCCTTTTCAAAACCCTCAAGGGCCTATTTCTCTTGTTATTCTTGCAGACATCCCTTGAGCGGCTGATGGAGATCCTGCACAGCACCACTCCGCACTACATCCGGTGCATTAAGCCCAATGCAGACTGCCAGGCGGCCCTTTTCAGAAAAGACGAGGTGACTTGCACGCTAATTTTTATTTATGTTTTCCCCTCCACTCCCCCAGGATACCTTATACCAGGGCTTTTCAACCTTTTCACCCATTGTACCACTTTTAGGAGATGGCA